GTTAGTTAGGTTAGTTATTAGTTAGTTAGTTGTTATAGTAGTTAGTATATATATATATATATATATATATATATATATATATATATATATATATATATATATTTCGGACTATGGAAACGTGTATATTCGCGTTGGAACTCTTGTTCACATGTTTTGGTATGGCAACAATGGTGCACCCAAGGACTATATATGTACTTCACCACTTTATGCTGTCTGTCATTTCAGAGCAGATTTTCCCAGACACAGTGTTTGTATACATCTACATATACATAGTAACATTATCAAATATTCAGGTCTCATTGCTATCTACCTGTTGAGAGCACACATTCACTGAAATCTGTTACGGATATGACAGGAAGTGGCGATGCCACAAAACGGCACCACCAAGGTCGGCTTTGTGGCTCTATTCGCAGCGTTTGCGGGGAAAGATATGGAAATCATAAACATGAACGACAACACAGCCACTGAAGTGGGGGCGAAGGCTGTAGCCGAAGCTATCCGAACGATGAAGAATCTGCAGAAGATTGACTTGGGCGATTGTATGTTGCGGGAAGAGGGGTGCATAGCTGTGTGCGAAGCAATCCAACAGAGTGGGAACACGGGCTTAAAGGTATGGGCGTGTGCTGTAGAAGATTACACTAGTCGTATTTATCGTTTAGTCAGGGATGTGGCGAGAGAGAGAGAGAGAAATCCATATCAGTTCAAATGCATACAAGTACTGGTATGCATGTTTTGTCACAGCACATGCATACAGTGGAATATATTGCAACAAACACTATGGTTGTCATTGTAGAGTTGCATAGTTATACGTGTATGTGCGTACTACATCCGTTGTCATTGTAGAGTTGCATAGTCATACATGTATGTGCGTACTATATCCCTGTTCATGATCAAAGGAGACCAAAAGGTCTTTTTCTCGCTCAATTTGGCACAAGCTCGGGCTTATTACATTAAAAGGAAAATATAATTCATTTAGATTTAGCCACGTGGGGCTATCCATGTATCAATCTCTCGTACAAACCTTTACAACTGACCTCATGCCAGTATCGTTGGATGTGGATCAGGTTGAATTCAATTGCATTGACTATCAAATCAATTGCTGAAATTCAATTGTATTGATGTTAGGAATGGGACTGGCATGGCTCAATATACATATGTGGTAATCTACCGTTTAAGTTTGGACGAGTGTGTTGCGATAATTCCAATGAATCCTAATTTTAGGAAGCGGTCTATGATCCTTTTTGAGAGTGCATGGTGCCATCGTGGACATGGTGAACTGAATAACGTGTTTACTAACCGTACATTCCTTTTCTGCCCACAGTCTATCGATATGGCCTTCGCAGATATCGAAGAAGAACAAGCCGAGAATGTTGCAGATGCCATGGCACTTATGCTGAGAACACAGACAGAATTAGAATCCTTCCGCATCTCTGGGAATGAAATGGAAGATGATGAAGTGCTAGAGCGCCTATATGCAGTGCTGGATACTACGGTTGGCCGGGAAGTACTGGTATATGAAGATGAAGAGTGAGATAAGCAGGAGATGTGGTAAAGCAAAATAATATAAAATAAATTTTTACGGATGTAGACAATGAACTTTTTATTTTTCGCGGTCATATAGTGATGGGAATGGGAGATAAGGGAGTGCTAGAGCGTCTCTATGCAGTGCTGGATGCTACGGTAGGCCGGGATGATCTGGTGGTATATGTAAGTGATGAATGAGATACAAATGTAGTAGGTGTGATGCACAATATAATTAAAAAAATGCTAATGGTATTTTGGGCCTGCATCTCAAGGTACCAAAGAAAAAAGACAAGCTTTTCTGTTATATCCTTCCCACGGCCAACGCAATGTGTAGAATGACTTTTAAGCTTATGCGTTGCTGGCAAATTTAGGTTATCATAAAATACCCACCTAGTCATTGTAGGTGACATCAGACATACATCAGATGTTACAGGAGCACTTAGGAGCACTTTGATGACAGGTGTTACATTAGGTGTTACAGATTCTCTTGGTAGTTGTTGCGGATCCACTTAAGTGTTGCAGATCCACCATAGTTAAATATCACTTTGTCAACTGTTGAAGTTTCTCTATCATAATATGGAAATCAACAAGCTTGTTTACCCTTTTCGAATCTAGTGGTAGTTATGGGCAAGTGAAGTACACGCATTGAGAGATACCGATTATGGCGACGATCGACAATCAGACGAAGAACCAGTCTACATTTTAGGTTGTACTTCAGACTACTTGGGTGTATGATTTCAACCCTGGAATTCCGTTTGTACAATTTCAATTATTGAACATTGTCACAACATAGTGCGAAAGTGAGAGTTGCTTTCAAATGGCCAGAACTGATAAGTGCATGTTTTGATGCAACAAAAAGAGTAGGCGTCAGAATACCCGTTGAATTAATATATTCAGATAGTTAGTCACTAGAGGACTTAATCCAATGTGTACAGTATCGGCAACATTTGCAAACTTCATTACCAATTCTTACCAGTACGGTTATAGCGAAAAGGAAAATGAAGAAAGAGCTTTGCACTGTCAAACGTTTCATCCCTGTTTAATTCCTTTTGTCTATTGAAATTTTATCTCTATTACTCCTACCCCTACCTCTTACATCCACAAAAAAAATCAGATCCATTTCGCTGATGAGAAGTGCATACAGGTACAGGTTCCACTGATATGCATGTATATGCACTTGCCAACGCACACCGTGGAACCAAATCTTTCTATGTTCCCATACCCCCCGTTTCTGTTCGGAGTTATTTGTCTATCAATTCTGTAAGAAGAGTTTCGGTCGTCAAGCGACCGGAAGGGTGTTGCATCGCATGCCCAACAACAGTGTATTGGTTCTCGTAATCCAATGGTCCGAACAAGTCAAGCCGTCGCAATTCTCTCAACTTGGTCGCGCTTGATCAATGAAATCAATAAGAAAAACTCCAGTGTGACATAGGGTAAATATGCGGTCTCCCTGTAACACAATTACTGTGCCTCGGCTTCGGCGTCTGCAAGTTGTGCCTCGGTCACACTCTCGAGTCCGGCTAGTGCGTCTTGTGCCGCGAAAGCTCCCAAGTCAGATCCCATTTGCGAAAGGGCCGACTCTCTGCGCTCAGTTGGATCCATATTGTAAGAGTTGGCTATTTACGTTGCGAATAAGCTGGATATTCGATTACACTTGGAGAGATTCAACGCGACAGTGGCGGATATGTAGTGAGAGTGGCATTTATATATGCTGTTAGCTTCGTATCGTTGGTGGACTTCAGCAGTGACTTTTGGTCATAAAAAACAGCTTCAGCCTTCACTCCCTTCAGCAGGACTCTGCTACTACTACTAGTAGTCTGCAGGATTTTGCGATTCTGATCTATCTACTTTTTGGCTTTTTGCCTCTTTTGTTGGCTGATTGCTCTTTTCATTTGATTTTGGACCTTTTGTTGTGACGACACTTTCAGAAAAACGGAAAAGCCCTAAAAAAGGACTTTCTGGATTATAATTGGTGGTTGGTCGGTAAAGCTATTTCATTCAATAGTATCTCAGTTTATTCAAATTTGAACACAGTGCATGCTGAATTTCTGTAAATCTCGGCCTACGCAAAGAATGGGCTAAAAATGTTTTATTCAGAAATGAATAAACTGTATCACTCCAATTTCGGAAGAGTGCTTTTTTTACTCATCATTTGGTTAGGGATTTTTGTTGAGATATTTAGAATGAGAAAGGCCCCCCCCCCCCCTTTGAGGCTGGGCCTTTCATTTCTAATTTTAAAAAATAGTGACAACTCTACACAGGTTGTTTTTAAATTTAACACCAGTGTTGGTCTCCTAAATAGTACTCTGTACTCTATATCTGTCATCAGTACTTTTATAGAATATATTATACTCTCTGTTATATTTGTAACTCCATAGTCACTCCAGTCTCCAATTCTCCATAGCTTTAAAAAAAATAAAATATTGAGGCCTCTACTCTAGGCGAGTAGGCGGCCTGCCAGAGTCTGGGGTTCTGGGCCTCTGGGGCCTTGGACTGGGGCCCTGGACCCTCTGGTGGGAGACTGGAGATTGGGGTGGGGAGGCAGAGTCGCGGAGGCTATGACCATGTATGTAACACCAGCCACCAAGAGGTAGTTAGGTACTCTTTAGAGGGTTATGGTACGTTGGTAAATGGTAACACATAGGGCTTAAATTCAAATTTGGCCTTCTCGGGGGACGCGGTCTCGCCTATAGACTATTTATGTACATATATAACTTCTCTCCTGGAATTTTGAAAAAATATCTTGTGGTTGGGTTGGTTGAAAAAAAAATATATATATATAAAAATCCCGGATTCCCGGTCTTCCGGGTCCCCCAGCCTCTCTGCTCTACTAAATAGCTCTACTCTCTCTACTCTCTACTAGTGGATAGTAGTAGTGTGAGACTGTGGTGAGTCTGTGAGTGTGAGTGTGAGTGTGAGACTGTGAGTGTGAGTGTGAGTGTGAGATACTGAGAGTTGAGACGACAATATTATAGAGAGTATGTATTTTTAGAACAGATTCTAAACATTTTACATATTATAAATACGTACATATTTAGTGCAAAAATAGAGAGCTGATGCCTGATGAGAGTGCCGAACTGCCAATTGCCCGATTCTGACTCAATCTGACAGTCTGACACCCAGTCCACTGTCTATCACTCTGTGTGTGTAGTAAATTCATTGTTTTTTTTATAAAACAAATATAGTTCCGAACTAAATTAATAAATATGGGTCGAAGACAAATTGAAATTTGGAAATTTTTAGAGCTCAATTAAGAATTTTGTAAGATTAAGAAATCACGCTGTTCTTAATAAGAAATAAGAATTAAGAAGTCAACATACCTTAAATAAGGAATATGGAATGAATTAAGAAGTCAACATACCTTAAATTGTCTGTAGCTCTGTATTCCCAACTTCTCACTGTTCTGTATCTAAATACTTGTGATATGTGATTAGGCATTCAGGCCTGATTGCGATGAGTCACCAAGGGTCTGTCTGTCACAGTTTCACTCGTATGACATAATAAGAATGAAATATGGATATATATTGATAACTTAATATTTATAATATATATATTTCTTATTATTTCTTAATAAGAAGTAGTAATAAAGAACTATAGCAAAATTAACAAGTTAAGTTGTGCTCATCAATGAATACGTGATATAAAATCAGGAATATCTTATTCTTAATGCTAATTATCAATTATGAAGAATAAATAATTTTGGACATAGGTTCATAATTAAGAAATAGGATGAAGGACTCATTCTAAATCTGTTTAGAAAACGTACAATACGTATCTTAATGATGTGAAGTATGGCCTGGCCCTGGACTCCTGTGACCTTCGTATGTCTTTTTTTAAACAAAACAAAAACAAAACACAAATAATCTTGTCACTCACTTCAGAGTCAGGTCAGTTAGTCATGAGTAAATCAGTCTCTCAGTCTCTCAGGCTCAGACTCAGTGAGTGACTCTCAGACCTCAGTTGTTGTTTATTTTGAAAAGAAACAAAAAACAAAAACAAAAACTTGTGTTTAAAAAAATAAATGCACAGTGTCACCGCCTCACCGTGTGTCCTGAACTCCGGGCACATGTGAGTGAGTGAGGCTATGGGTCAAAATATACCCAGCTATCCACCCTCTCTCTCTGAGAGAGAGAGAGAGAGACCTGTAGCCCGCGCGTGGGGGTCTCGGGCTCTTGGCCTCTGGGGAAGTGTGGGGCTGTGGGTTCACTCTGGAGTCTGGGTGGTGGGCGTCTGACAAGCCTGACGCCTGCGGCCTGTATCTTGTGGCTACGACTTGTGTGAAGTTGTAAGTCTGTACCTAACTCTCTGACTCTATGTGACTGTGAGTCGAGTATATTTTTGATTTAAAAAAATATTTTTGAAAAAGAAATGAAACAAAACAAAAATTGTTTTTATCGCGCGACAATTAAACGTAGTGTCAATTGAACGCGGTAAATAAATGCTTTGTTTTCACTTCTTGATAATTCTACAAAGAAGAAAATCTAAATTCAAAAATTGTGGTCGTGTATTGCGTTGCCGTCAATTTTTTTACTCAAAAGTCCAAATTGAGTCAAACAATGAATATTTACATCCATATATGTTGTCTTTGATATTTATTTAAAAAAAAACATACATACAGCGTGTACCGGACGGACAGGGTAGAGGCCGAGGGGGGGATATTTACTTTAGACTTGCTTTAGAGGTTAACCCCAGAGCCTCAGGTATATTATAGAAGCAATATCATTGGTAGTTAGATTGGCGTTTATTTCGGGTACATAGATATGTACCCCATATTCTAACCAGCATGTTTTATAATACCAGTGAGAATATGAGGTACCTGAAATACATGTCTAGACTCGCTGTGCGCGTACATATAGTCTTCCATTGACCAATAAAGTAGTATGCTATAATTCCATACAGAACTTTTAGGTATGTATGGACTTGTATAACAACCATTTCTGATAAACTGAAATCCTTCTCTTTTAATACGTTTATTAATCGTCAATACAAAGCATTTACATCAAATACATGCCAATGAGATTCATTTTTAAGACACGTCTGGATCAGCCTCTGTAGCAAATATCTCCCCCGAGTCCAGGGCTCCAGCCTCCAGGGCGCAGGCACTCCAGTCTCCTATGTCAAATTTTTATGTTCTCCCGGTCGTAGCCTTCTGAAACTCGCAACTCGTCCCTGACCTTCACAGAAAAAAGAGACATCTATCGAGTGGACACCCCTAGCAATCATCTAATTGGCCAAATGGCTTTCGGCAGATCGGATCATATGTTAGGTATACTGCTAAACAGTGTTCTCTACAAAAGATCATTTCAAATGGTATGAAAACAATATTGTATGCTTCAAATATTAATCAGACACTCCTATTTCTATCATACACTTCATAGCATAGAAAAGCAACACAGACGTTTGGTTGATTCTTTATCCCAAATGCACTCAATATTTCAGATTGTCCGCACAGCTTTCAATGTACACAAAGCTATAACGCAACTGAACGCAAGTATAGTGTTAGAACGTCGGTGACACCGCACGAATTCTCACTATGATATGTACAAATTATGGGGTGTTTGGCCTGGATCACAAGGAAAATTGTTCAAGAACAAAGGGACCTAACATATGGTTGGACCTGTCGAACCACTCGGCCAATAAAATTACCGCTACGGGTGTCCACTCGATAGAAGTCTCATTTTTTTCTCGACAAGTTGCGAGGACCCACTGTACTGTGCACTGTGCAATTTGCAGTGTGTATGTATAAATAATGTACTCCTGTGTAGTGTTGACTGTTCAGACGTTCAGTTTTGATTCCCGGGGAAATTTCGCCTTGGAGTTATTAGACTTCGATTCTTCGAGGCGCCTGCTCGTTGGCCGTTGGAAAAATCAATTTGGATTTTGGAATGATTATTTTTTTAAATTGATATTTAACTCTTTTTTTAACATCACAAGTCACAACTGACAACTAATTTATTTACAACTTTACAATCTATTCAAATAAACAACTAATCGTTGTTTTATTGGCTGTTGTACAAATTTGCCAAATAATCGTACCTTTCATTGGATTATTCCGACATATTTTAATATGAAGTTGGAAGTGAGTCAAGGCATGACTCATGGAAGTTGGACCTCGTCCCTTTGGTCCTCGGAGTCTCGGACTGTCAGAGTGTCAGGCGTCACTCGTCAGTCGTCAGACAGCCCTTTTGTTGTTTAAAAAAACAAAAAAACAACAGACAACAAAGGAGAACAAACAAGAAAATACATATTTACAAACAAAACAAAAACATGTTTAAATTTCAGAAGGCTATGAAAAACAAAACAAAATCCCGAAGGAAAATAAAATCAGTTTTCCTAAAAAGGAAATCACGATTGTGTAGTACAAACAGGGGGTGTTTAGATTGGTCGAACGCTCGACTAATTATATCTGTGGAAACGAAGAAGAAAACAAACAAACCACCAACAGATGTTTGAGTAGAGACTAGAGACACTTTTATTTAGAGACGTACTACTGCCTCCAGTACTTCGGTTTTGCATAGGTATAAAGGGTTAGCAGCGCTATTCTAACTGTCAATTATCAAAGTACAAAAATCTATTCACAGTATGAGCAGTTTGACAGACTCACCGGCCTGGAAGGCATTACAAAGCCATTACGATTCTACCGGAAAAAACATCAAAATCAAGGATGAGACCTCCAAGGAAGATCGATTCGATAAGATGTCGTTTACCCATTCCTCTGGCGACGGTGATATTCTCGTAAGTACCATTCTTTGTATCTTATTTGCATAGTGCACCCTATATAACTATAAGATCTACAGTATATATATATATATATCTATATCTATATCTATATCTATATCTATATCTATATCTATATATCTATATATCTATGATCTATATATCTATAAATCTATAAATCCATATATCTATATATCTATATC